GAGTCTGGACTTACTACCAATTTATAGAATGTTCCATTACCTTCTATTGCCTCCTACAGTGTTCTATTACCTATTCAACCATTTTCTGAAAAAAATCTAGAATATTCCACCCAGACACAGTACGGTTCTAGAACATTCTCAGTGACACGGAAGTGGTAAATAAGTCGTATGCGACAAACGTTTTCAAAGAGTTACGTACATGTGGACAAATCCTTGTCTAGCTCAAAACTTAGTTTTGCATCAGATGGCAGAATATTCTTCAATATTGATTAAGAAACGAAAAACAAATATTAGGGACTAATTCATGTCTAGCCTTCCATATTTTTAATATAATAAAAACATATCAATAACATTTAATATCAATACTGTACTTGTGCATTCACATAACCGAGATGTTCTCGGATCGCAATCCTAAATAAGACTTCTTTACCGTACATTATCCTATGATGTGACCGTCTTTTATGACGAATACGGTAACTATTATTTCCGGATGTTCGGAACTTGAATCGTGATCTCGGCTAGTGTCGGATGCCTTCGGCAGTACCAACAAACAAAGCAGGAACACTTTTAGAATTTTAAAAACAACTATTTATGCGCACAATGTTAGCCAGTTTGGGCACTCATTTTGCTTCTCTAATCACTGATATAAATGGACATTTGGATACAATCAATATATCGTTCAAAGAACACGAACCTAGAAAATAACAACATGAACAAACCCATGGAAAAGGTTATGGGAGAATTTCAATACGTGGAACCCTAGCATACTGGCATACCATGCCTGACAATAAGGTTATCATAAATAGTAACCAAGTGCTCGTTGATAACCAAATTAAAAACTGACTATGGAAAATTATTAAAATTCTAATTAACTGACAATTTGAAGTGAAACCAAAAGTCGCCTTTAAATAATAAGACAAACGTCTGTCAACCTATTATTCGTCTGCACCACTCAATGGAAATCAGCAAAATAATATATCTGATTCATAATTTTAAAATCCTAGTGGAGTGGGAAATTTTATAATTCTTTGTTTCATGAAACTTATGATTATTTTGCCACCTATTTTGCATCGCCTGAATGACATCTTCATACAGTCTTTTAAATTGAAGGAACGCAACACAACAAAACGCAAATCCATGCTGCCGTAATTCACATACCAATAATTACAACTCATTCTAAGGGTTAATTATAGCAATTACATACCTGTATAAGAAGATTACATCAGAAAATTGTGTATTGCATAAATCATGCGACATTTCACGTGTTGATGCTTTTGATTTGATTAATTAAAAATCTAAACATTTAGTTGATATAAATACACGGGAATAACAAATAAACTCAATTTGTGTTTTTTTCTTCTCTAATATGACAAATTACAAGATGGAATGTGTTCTGCTGTCTCTCTCTTTTGGGTTAACTTATCTGTCAATGCATATAATTTTGATATGTTTGATATCCATGTGACGTGGTGCATTTGACAGTGAATATTTAGTAAATATTTTGGAAAATCTAAAGTGATAACGAAAACTCAACTATGAGCTATATTTCCTCAGACATTCTTCAGAGACATGCAAAGTTCACATTTAATACAATAGTGATGTGACTATGTCGCGGGATTTTGCGAGACATGCAAAATAATAAATAAATAAATAAATATATTACAATAGATAAAGAATTTGTTAAATTCAAAACATGACCATTTTATGAGTTCTTACACATAGTAACAATTTGTTGATTACGTTATATAAACATACATTACAGTAAAATAAATGAATACAGCACACACTGTATATTAGTATACAAGCATGGTACATAAATTGCGCATGTATATTTGCGAGGTATTTCGGGGGCTCTTGATCTGTAGCCGGGTAGGGCATTCCAGCTAAGCTCTTAACAGTGTGATCATACTCAAGTAGCTACAATAAACATATCCATAATAATAGCACAGTATTTTTTCAGAAACCCATATGTATATTTCAGTATATATCAAAGTTTGATGTCTCATTTAAAACAATACCCGACATAAACTACAGTAGTTACACTAGTCAGTACAAGTCTTGCACATTGTAAAATGTACACACGTCACACATACAACACATAGGTGTACAACTTTGTATAATGTAATATAACTCAATACGTTATTCAAAATATTCTTGAGTGCAGCTTGAAACACGTAAAATACACGATTTACCCGTAGAAATTAGGCTGAGGCGTACAATATAGGTACATAAAAGAAACTCCTCATCGTGATAAAGTTTTACCGATTTGTTCATTTAATATATTAAACAATAATATGACCAATATCTATTATAAAACGGTACTCATTTCATCGGGTGGATTACTTGTATAAAATGTATAGGGGGTGGTGCTTCGTTACTTAAAGGGCGGTGGTCGTCGCGCCACGCATGCGCAAGATATTGATCTCATATAAACAAAGATGGCGATTTTGACTGTGTGCGCTCAT